AAGATTTTTATTTATTTATAACAGAGACAGTGAGAGGGAACACAAACACAGCGGAGCTGGAGAGGGAGAAGCAGGCTCCCCGCTGAGCAGAGACCCTGATGTGGGACTCGATCCTGGTACCATAACCTAAGCCAAAGGCAGACACTTAACCACTGAGCCACCCAGGCGCCCCTGCATTTGGTTTTACAGGCAGAGAGTGAAGAAGCCTGTGAGAGGAGAGATACTAAGCCTTCGGCAGACAGAGTAACGGTCCCCCAGAGATGTGCAGTTCTCATCCCTGTGAATGCTATGTTGACAGGACAAAACATTATTAAGTTTGCTCATCGGATAAAATAGTGAGATTATCCTAGATTCTCTGGGCAGGCCCAGTGTAATCAAACAGTGCTTAATAATGAAGACAGAAGCAGAAGACTTGGTGTCTGAGTGACGTGATGTGAGCAAGACTTGGCAGATGTGGCTGCTTTTGTAGACAGAAGAAAAAGGCCACCGGCCAAGGAATGTGAGCAGCCTGAAGAAGCTGGGCAGGACAAGGTGTCTCCCTCTGGTGCCTCCCAGGTCAGACTCCTGAAGAACTGGAAGATAATAAATCTGTACTGGCCTCAGACTCTCAGTTTCTAGGAACTTGTGAAAAGCGGCAACAGGAAATGAGCGTGGGGTAGGAGATATAAATAGGTCATTTAGGAGGTCCAAATGCCGGAAGTAGAGAGGTCAAGACCAAGAACACCAGAAGGGAGCTCTGGGAAAGAAGATGCCAGTCTCCAGCCCTGTTTGTTCCGATTGACTCCTGCATGCCAGCCTATGCATCCCGCATACCGTGCTTGCGTGGCGGCCATGCAGACACCGGTGACACACGATCCCCGGCCTCAAGGAGCTCGTGGCCCACCCAGAGGTGGACTTGGTGTGCGAGTCTCAAGTCTCTGTCCTTTCCATTACTGTCCCGTTGCCTCTGACCAAAGTAGTCTGATCTATTCAAATAGTTAAATACCATTCCATATTTTCTCATCTTCCAGCCTAACTACTCCTCCTGCTCTGTGGTCTCTGCATCGCCTTCCTCCCTGAGATATGCTCCGACTTCTAAATTCCTTCACTATGTAGCAGCAAGGGCTGGGTTCCAACCCTAGCTCTAGCCGTGTGAGCCCAGGCAAGTAGTGTTCCACTCACTGAGTGGGAGCAGTGAAATCTGCCCCCACCACGGGTTCTTTGGGAGGATGGGGTGTGACAGCAGGTAGGGTCTCCCAGGCCCCTGCCTGCAAGAGCTAGCGCTCAGGCTCCTGAGTTCTCTGTTCCCCCTTTTCTAATGTCAGGCACCAGGTCAAGGTCAATGTTCTTAATGGGGCTTGTCCCGAACAGAGAATAGCCAACTACTCCCTCCTTGTTTTGGGAACTTTTTCAAAGCAGCTTCAACTAACAAGAAATGTTACAACAGACACATCACTGTGGCTCTGGTGCTTCAGCAGTCAGTCAACCTGGCTGCTTTTACCAGGGCCCTTGACATAGAGCAGCACATTAACTGAACAGCAAGAGGCCCGAATTACAGCGTGTGGGATGCTCAAAGTGGGGGCAGGAGGGCCACAAGGGTGCTCTTCAAAACCCAGCTACTTCCAAATATAGATAGAATGCCATTAGACCTCTCCAAGGGTGGGTAAAGTGGTGCAGCTTCTGCCCCAAACTTTGACTGTGAGTCCCCCATTCCAACCCAATCAATCCTGACGTCAGCTTCCTACGAAAACTAAACTTCCATTCATGCCTTCTACGTTTCCAGAAGGCTCATGGGCCAAGATCCAGGACCATGCTGGTGCCCGAAGAAGCCAGGATGGTGTGGCACAGGGCCTGGCTCCTGGCAGTTTGCCTTCCCCGGCCCAGGACAACCGTCCGGAGAGTGTGACACACTGTCGTAAAAAGGGAGCCAGGCGCTGCCGGTGTTCAAGGTAGAAGGGCGCGCAGATGGCAAGCAACAAACGGTTTCTGCGAGTAGTGACTTCTGAAAAGGGCTGGGCTCCAATCAGCAAGAGAACTGTTCCAGGAGAGACGTGTGTGTCGAGGACTCCCTGCCTCCTCCCACCTCAAAGCCGCCTGCAGCCTGGTGATGGCCACACAATACACAAGAAGGCACAGGAGGCCACTGAACGGTACATGAAAAAGCGGTTGAAATGACAGATTTTATGTCATGTATACTTTAGCACAATTAAAAACAAACCAACCTAAAATGTGAAGAACAAATACAATAGGAGTGCTTCAAATGACAAAAGGAGAAGTGAAGCAAGCGTGGCCAAGTACTGACAACCGTCAAGCCCCAGCCAAGAGCATCTGTGAGATTCCTTTATGACTCCACATGCAGCTTTGTGCACTTAAAAATGTATTCTAAAACGCTCCAATCTCCAGAAACACATGGCAGTGACCCTTCCAAAGTCAAGCTGCTTCAGGGCACACAGGCAGACCCTCCACAGCACCTCCCAAGGCCCTCTCCAGACCCATACGCCTGCGACCAAACAAACTCTGCACATGCTTTGACCCTGGCATGTGTGACCATCACCATTTAGAACGCACTCCTCTCCTGGACTCCCTTCCCCATTTCCCTCCAGCCGCCACGCACACTCCTGCAAACCCTCAGCCTAGCTACAAGGCCTGCTTCTCTGCAGTCTCCCCATACTCTTAACCCCAACCCCAGGCTGAGCTACTAATTCTTCCACTTGGACTACAACACTTATCCCAAAGGAGTGGATTTATTTGTTCACATCTAGACTCTGCACAGTCCCAGCCCCGAGCAGGCATGCTGTATGTCATTACAGAGTTTTAAAGCAAAGAGGCAGAGCAGCCAAGTTATTTTTAAAGAATGTGAAGTAGTTCAAAGATGGCAGCGCAGGCCACCTGGGTGGCTCACTGGTTGAGTGTATGGTTGTGGCTCAGGTCATGATCTCGGGAGTCCCTGGGATTGAGCCCCACATCAGGCTCCACGCTCAGTGGGGAGTCTGCTTGTCCCTCTCTCTGCTCCTACCCTCTTACTCATGCTCTCTCCCTCTCTCAAATAAATAAAATCTTAAAAAAAAAAAAAAAAAAGGCCACACAGATGTAACAGAAGGAGCCAGGAAGGCACTCGTGGTCTTTGAGCAGGAATAAGAGGCACGTCAGACCTCCTTCTCCCAGTCTATCTCCACATGGAAGGTCTCCCGGCTTTTCTCCCCAGCCCTTGGACCTTAGTGAACTTCACCGCGTCAGGGTCTGCCTCTGGCGGAGGGAGTAGCCTCAGGTCTGTGTCCTCCACACATGAAAGGCAATTGGAAAACGTTCAGCCACTATGAGAGGCCTGCGTCCTCCAGGGCTGCCTGGGGACTAGGTGGGTAACCGGTCTCACTGAGGTTAAATGAGCAGCAGAGCCATTAGGCCATAGGTTAAAAGCCACTCCCTTCAATCATTTTAACTGATAACGAAGTAACATTCTGAGCTACATATGCCCGACTCCTGCATCCATTCCTTAACTGGTTCCTAATTTGAGAGGAAAAAAGATGGGTATTACTTGTTGGCTCCTCCCACCAAACACACATAGACAACTTGCCTCTGTGGTAAGATTAACTTACAAGTAACATACAGTCTAAACCATGTGGAGAAAGTATTTAGCATATAGTAACTCTCTGCTATCGTTAGCTGCTTCTGTGGTTGTGACTAGAACCAGAAGCAAGAAAGTCAGGGGGACGCTGCTCAAGGACAGTGTGACCTACAGCGTGACAGCAGGGTCAACGAGGACCCAAGAGCTTTGCGAAGAGGAATGGCTCTGATGTAGCATCAGGGACCATAAGGGGTTCCGGTGTCCAAGGTGGAAAGCCACCTCTTGTGGAAGCTGCCGCAGGAGAGCAGAGAGCAGCCACGAGAGGCAATGAGAAGGAGGAAACACGGTCCTCAGCTCAGCGGCCTGCACCTGCCCAGACGAAAGGAGGGACGTGCGGTGAAAAGGAGATCTACAGAAACTGAGCCCTGAGACTGAGGGAAGGCAGAAAGGAAAGACAAGGGACAAACCAACCACAACCATCCTCTACTCGGAAAACCCGAAGAACTTTATCATGGGTTCAGGGTTAGTATTTCAGCCAAGAACAGAGAAAGCCAATAGGCCGAATGCTAACATCCAGAGATGAGTATACTTGAGGGGCTGGGGATGGTTCTCCATTTGCACAGACTTTCAAAATATCTCATAATAAAAACTTCTCGAAGACCAATTTTTCAAAGGTAAAGGTAAGGAAATGGGGAATAACTAAAACTTTTCTGCACTGACTTCAACCCCACCCCAGCCCCACTCAAGGCTACAACTTGACCCATAAGCTGTGAGGCTGGGGAGTAAGAACAGGTCACTTGGGTAGGCGTGAGTCTGGTTGCATTCAACACGGCCCTGCTGTGTCCCACTCAGTTCCAGAGAGCCTTTTTACACAAAACAGCTTTCGGTGACAGCATGTTCCAGAAGAAAGCCTGAACATTCACATTCATGGCTTTGGGAATTCATCCTGGTCTCCAAAAAGATGCTCCATCAATACTGCTGTACTGGGAGATGAAGAATATATGGAGGGGCGGGAAGGAGAGGGAGAACTCCCATGGGTGGCTACAAGGCAGTGGAGATTTTCAGGAAAAATAACCTTGAATTTTCAGGTACAAAAAGCCATTGCATCCCCACCCACAGACTGCACAGGACTGCAACCACTGCCACTCTAACCCTCGTGCCTCTAGAGCAGGTGGGGTGGGCAGGTGTGTCCAACACCTGGAGATCTGCAGCTGTGATTAAGACGCCTGGATTCTCTGGAACAGTCACACAGGGGCAAGAGAAAAGGAACTCCCAGCAAAGAACAAAGTGGAAGTGAACCAGCGCCGCCCGGCTTTCTGCTTGACACTGCAGACGGGAGGCCCATCCTGGTGGTCTCTCCTGCCATCCGGGATACCTGCAGCAAGCACCCCCACACCCCCAGCAGACGCCCTCCTCCACAGGATCCCAGCCAGGGAGCACTGCCCAGAGCCCTTACCTCTGCCAGCTCCCGCTCACTGATACTTCCGGTGGCGCCCCCTTTCTTCCTTGTGCAGGGCTCTCCCACGGTGACCCTGCCGTCCCCTTTGGCATAGCTGTGCACAGTGAGAACTCCCGACTGCCCTTGGGCTCGGCAGGACAGAGGCTCACTGGTTTCTGAATCGGAAGAAATAGAATCTCGAGAAGAACCGGAGCCCAGGCTAGAAGATGATTTCTTTTTCGAACCTGAGAGGACAAGGCGTCCCCCTAGAGAAGCAGGATTCACAGAAAGATCCAAGGCAGCTGCTTCTTGTTCCTCCTCTTCCTCCTCATCCTCCTCTTCTAGTTTGACATTTTTAAGCTCTTCAAATTTGACTTCAGAGGAGTCAGAATAATCTGAAACACACACGCACATTGGCCAGAGCCAACTTCCCCACGCACATTTGAAGCCAAAGCAAAGCAAAGGGGCAAAGCACAGAGAAACACAGGCAGCGAGTGTGGTGCAGCTTCTGATTCGGGCTCGGTCACCTGCAGGGTCACTGTGTGATCTGGGACTGACTGTTCAGCCCCACCGGGCCTCCAGGTTCGTCCCGTGGAGTGTAGGCAGCCTACCACCTATCTCCAGGGTTCTGTGTCTACTATGGAGCACAGGCTGGCACACAACAGAACCCTCAGAAGTCACCTGCAGGAACCAAGGCCTGAACGCAGCAGGCCTGGTGACCCCAAGCTAGAGCAAGTGCTGAACAGAGGAAGCTGGGCCCCAAGGCCCTGCTCCACAGTGCTGTCCAGCTGCCAGGAGGTGCACCAAGGCAGCCTCTGTACAGATCCGCCAAGCCTCACCCGAGGCTCACCCAAGCCCCCCAACCACCATCCCAGCGGGTAGAACGGCTGTCCACACCACTTCCTTCCTAAAATCCAAGTAGCCCCTCAAGCCCCCAGGAGAGCAAACTCTAAGATGGCAGCCAATCCCCTCACCATCTTATTCCTACTTCTCCAGCCTCATCTCCTGCTAGCACCGCTGTCTTCTACCCTTCCCACCCCTGTAATCGAGTTACAGGAAATCACTACCAGCTCCCCTAATAGCTCATGTGGTTTCAGACCTCCATGCTGGCGCCCCTGCCTATTCCCCTTTGGGTGCCCTGACTCTCTGCCTGCCTGGAAAACTCCAACCTCTCTCCTAAGAGTTGGGTCAGCATCACTTCCCCGACTTCGGTGTCTCCCCGACCCCTCATCAGGCAGAGGGAGGCAGTACTTCCCCTATCTTCCACCCAGCATGCCCCTCTCCAAAGGGCTCCTCACAGCCATTCTCACACTCCACTACCACTCTCTGCCCACAGACCCATCTCCCCCAACACCTATGACCCAGCACACAACATGGCATCTAACCCACAACAGACCCCAGTGACGCTATGTTTGGAAAAACATCAGAGCCAACAGACCTGGGAAGGGAAGAGCATCCTCGACTTGCCGCACGGAGCTGTGGGTGGGCCTCACGGGAGCGAGGGCAGCCTGGCACTCTGCCACATCGTACTGTCCGGAACTCAGCTCCTCCTTGGGGAAGAGGTCACTCTGACTCACCTCCTGCGGTATTTCAAGACAAACCCGGTGCCTCTTGGTCCCTATACGATGTTTGGCGAGGCTGTGAGGAAGAGAGCACACTTTTGAAGGGCCCACAAACACAGTCACATCCACACACATTCACCCACATCACACATGACCCAAAATGAGCAAACAGCCAGAGCCTGTCCACTGCGCCTCACGCTTGAGTCCCACCTCTCGTCTGTGGGAGACATGGGACTTCACCTCTCCCTGCCTATTTTATCCAGTGGGAAACAGGAACATCCCCAGCCCCCTCAGAGGTTGTATGTCAGGCTTATGAGGTACGCTGAGTACCTGGCGGAGCTCCTGGCCTACAACAGCTACCCCGTAACCAGTTCTCCTTTCTTCTCCATGTGGCTCAAGGCAGAAGACAGATCCTCCCGCTCAGACACCAAGGACACTGGCCAACCTCAATCCTGCCACCCCCCCAGCCCCTGTGGGTCTCATTCCAGCCACGACATTCTCCTCTGTAAAAATTGCCTCATGTGCCAGGGCACCTGTATGGCTCAGTCAGTAGAGCATGCGACTCTTAATCTCGAGGTGATAAATTCAAGTTGGGCATGGAGCCTACTTAAGACAATAAATTAAAAAAAAAAAAAGTCTCAGGTGGCAATGAGAAAATGACTTTTCTGGCTCAGAGGGAGCCATGTTCTCTTTGTATGTGACCTTCGCTACAGCCAGTTACAGGTCCACATACAGATGTGGTCATTCCTGGGTGATGGCTGTTAAGGAAGAGCCTGGATGCCCTTGCCCTGAGGATTCTAGAGCCTTTACCAAGAATAAAAATTCCCTCAGCTGTGGCTCCAACACCCCACTTAGAAACAGCCTCTCGACAGGTTACGGAAGCTGCCTAAGCACCTCTCCCTCAAACAGCTGGGCCCAGAGGGCCGCCGGGTTACCTTCTCTTTAAGTCACCCTCCTCTCCATCCTCAAGCCCTTCCATGTCATCTTCCTCCCGACACTCCTCGTTTCTGGCTCTTGGAGGCAGTTCATTCTCCTTAAGGAACTCGGCTGCTTCTGGCGTGGGCAGAGTATGGTCGATAACTGTGCTGTCCTTCCCAGCTTTCCAAAGCTTGTACCTTTCTGGCTGGAACTTCCTCACAAACACGTCCATGGAGATCTTCACCATGTCCTTCCTACAGGAGCACTGTCCCAGGGAACCAGGAGAGCTCCAGTCAGCATGCTTTAACGGCTTCTCCATGACCCCCATATCCCATCTCCTTCCTCCAAGTGAAATAAAGATACAAGCCCATTTAAAGCCAAACTGCTGGCACTCACAGCTGAGAGCGGACTGGCCTTGCGGAACCTTCGAGCATGGGGGGGGAAGCAGGGAAAGAGCAGGCAGGAATGAGCGGCGCTGGGATGCGCCCACCCAGGCCCTTTGCCAGGCTGCACAGAAAAACACCGCAACGAAGCTCCGCACTCACGCCCGGGAAGGCGGACGCCCGCCTTCCGTCCGCGCTCTAGCCCAGCCAGGCCCACAGGAGCAGGTGTGCCCAGTCAGATGTCTAGCCCTGCCTGCTTCCCTAACCTGAAGAACTTCTCAGAGAAAACCCACAGGGGCCAAAGCAAGAAGCACCAGTGTGTGCGGGTGTGGTTTTCAAGCTCAATGGATGTAAGCATGGAAACCTCACTTGAGGTGCCCCAAACCTGAACTTTTTACAATTCTAGATGAACACAATATGGGGGCACTTCTGCCCATTCCTGTCACTCCGTTTCTGAATTCCAGCAGTTCAAAGAACATTCTAATCGCCAGCCAGCGTAGCTAACAAGAATTTGCTCACCAGACGTTTTCGGGCACGGCATTACAGAAAGAAACCAGACAGACTTACCAGCACCGCTTGCTTGCCATATTCAATCCACCGCCGGGTAGCAAAATTGGTGGACTCCGCACAGTTGAAGCCATGGTTAAAGCCGGCATGGTAACCGTACGGGAAAGTGATCATGAATTCTCCAGCTTCTTGAGTGACCTGAACAAGAGCAGACTTGAAGCAGCCACAGCAAATGGCTGAAGTCTACCCAGCTGGACGTCTGACCTCCAGTGCCGCGAGCTTCGCTGAGTAACCCAGGGAAAGTCCTAGAACTACCGGGGGTCTTTGTAAAATGCAAAGCCCTATCATATCCGACCCCATCACTGTAAGTGACCATTCCTCCAAATCAACAGTGTTCAAGGGGACCAGACTCTGCTCGGGCACTGGGAAGCTGCAGTACCTCCACCTTTAATATCCTCGTATATCAAAGTACTGCTATATAGGCTAGCTCTGGCCCATGCCCGGTACAGAAGGATGAACTAGATTAAAGCCCCTTGGTGAAACAGACCAGAAAGGGTAAGACGAAAGACTTCTGTATATAAAATCAGCTCACCTTGTCAAAGGGAATTCCGTATTTCTTCAGCATTAAAGGGGAAATCAAGGTCATCTTATGGCGGAGAAAAGCCTCGCAGCTTTGAGCACTTCCAGGGAAAAAACCTGTTGCAAGGAACATGGGCCCAGGTTAAGACACTGCTCCACGCCAGCTCTTCAACCCTAGAGATGCTGCACCCTTGGGCATCTCATCCAGATGATGAGGAGGATAAAATCACCACAGATCCTTCTAGCTTCAAGCTAATCCTAAGATTCTACAGTGAGCCCCTAGGCTCTCTCCCGTGCAAGCTGTTATGTGGGTAATCAAATTCTGTTTGGGAGACTGAGATCACCCAAGCTCCCCTGTTCTTATAAAAAGCCTTCAAACTGTTTAGGACCTTCCTCTGTTAACCTGAATCCCTCAGTCCTTTGTTAGTAACACATCCACAGTGCAGATCACCCAAGCTCTCCAGAAACAGGCTCTCTGGAGGTACAAACTTATTAAAATCCACTTGAACAAAAGCACAAAAACTGAATTTTCACATTTGGGTTTCCGACAGGAGAACAAGACCCAATATGCATGGTACACGATCTCTGGTCAAATAAACCCATGCCTGATAAAACTGAGGCAAAGACGAGGAATTACTTACTTAGCAGTCAAAAAAAAAAAGAATTATTTAGTCCCCTCCCAGGACAAATGGAGGAAGTTTCCAATTTAATTGCTCTGCTGGGGTAACCAATCTGGCAGCCCAGCTCACCCCCTACACACAGGCCTGAGGAAGGACAACATAAGCATCTGACCAGGGAACGGACATTTTAGAACAAGGAGCACAGCACACGGGGAGGTCTGACCCAGCACAGGGAGGAGTCACAGTACCTTTGGCAAGGCGCTCCAGCCGCTTTCCATGCTCCGGGGGAACAGAGTACCTGCAGTCACAGAGAAGCGTCGGATGCGGAGCAGAGGACACTATAGGAGGTTAAGGAACTTTTCCCATTCTCAAAACAGCTCTCCCTCAAACAGGGAGACTAAGACTGGAGGCACTTCTTCAGGTGACAGAAAGCTTTTTTTTCCCTCATAAAATAACAGATTTTTCAACTTCCTAACCACAAAAACTAGAAAGGAGTCTGGAGAAATGATTTGTTAGACTACTGGGGGCCAGGAGGGAGGAGCCCACAAGTAAGTACGAGTGAATATGTTTCTTTTAGAGCCTTTCATTTACCGAGACAAGAGCCAGAATTTATGGTATGTAATCAGCGTTACTCTCCTTTATAATGTTCAAGAAATAAAAATTTTGGGGGCGCCTGGGTGGCTCAGTCATTACGTGTCTGCCTTTGGCTCAGGTCATGATCCCAGAGTCCTGGGATCGAGCCCAGCATCGGACTCCCTGCTTGGTGGGAAGCCTGCTTCTCCCTCTCCCACTTCCCCTCCTTGTATTCCCTCTCTCGCTCTCTGTCAAATAAAATATTTTTAAAAAAAATTTTTTTTCTTTAAAAGGATAGCATTAAGTGCTCCTGGCACAGCCTAAAAAGGCCTAACTGGGATAGGATAGAAGAGGAATGGAAAACGAGGTGAAAATGGGATTTGATACCACAGACCAGGCCCCAGAGATGCTGCTGAGCCCATTTTTCTCTTCATCTCTGTAACAGCTACACTGATTACCCAATAATTAATTACTCCTCCACCCTGCAGGGTAGTGAGATGCAAGAGAAATTGTTCCTCATTAAATAAAACAAAAAACAACAACACTTAACTGACTGAGCCACCCAGGTGCCCCGATTGAAAAAAGAGAGAGAGAAACCACGGAACCACTTAAAATTTTCACAACACTGTTAAAACTTTATATTCTGAAACTCATAGTAAGTCTACTTTAACCTTCATAATTGACTCTAAAGATCATTCCCCAACAGAAATTTCTCATCCCAAATAATTTCATTATGAAACAGATGGGGAGGAGCAGAAAATGCTGGTCATCCAAAGGACCTTGGGTCCATCAGGCAACATTGACCAAGTCTCTAGAGGTCCCTCTTCCAATGACCTAAAGAGCACGTGTAATAACCAGAAAATCTTCTCTCTACAGAATAATGAAAATCCAACCTCAGGGAATTTAGGATTAAAAAGGCAAAAGACACAAAAGCAACACATACAGATTCTAGAAGTCTAGCCATCTAAGAAAAGAAATGCGACAGCAGTTAGGGGGTGAACAGAAGCTCAGAAGGTTGCCCCACCATGATTAGAAACTGGAAAGCATCTGAAAAAAGAAAGGAAAACCTCTGAGAAAAAGAGGCAGCTGAAGATGCTGGCAAAGGAAATGAAGATGCAGTTTGAACGACTCCTCGTGACCTGGCCCATGGTGTCCCTGCTGGCCTCCTAGCTCTTCCCTCCTAATACACAGCACCCGCACCACAATGGACTTCCTCTAGTTTGTGAAGACATCGTGCTCTCTCTCAACTTAGGCTCCCTGTATGTGTTGTTCCAACTGCCTGGACACGCTCTCCTCAGTCTTCCCTGCCCCAAACCCGCCATCTTCCCAGTCAGCTAGGCCTCCTCATGTTAGGGCTCAGCTTCGTTGTCACCTCTCCCAGGGAAGCCTTCTCCAATACCCACCCCATGTTCACGTACCCTTCCTATGCGGACCTAGAGCACCCGTCAGAACTTCTTTCAGTGTATTTATTTCCTCACACGTTCAGTCTCCTACCTGTGTGAATGGATGCCTCATCTGTTTTGGTCACTGCTGTCCAACGTAGCTTCACTAAAATGCTGGGACTGAGAGACGGGTCAGCACAGGGAGAGAGGAGAGAACAGATCTTTCTCTCCCCAACTAGACTGAGAACATCCTGGAGAGCAGGAAGGTACGCAGAGAAGCCTTGCATCCCCTCTCAGGGTTAAGCACAGTGCTGCTCACCAAGTATTTTTTCCATGAGGAAAAAAAAGCTTTCTGTCACCTGAAGGAGTGCCTCCAGTCTTAGAAGCCTGCCTCTAAGAAATGCCTCAGGCCTGTTCAGAAAAATAAATCACAGCGGGAGAGCCTGCAAGAGCCTCTGGGGCTCTCAGTAACTCAGCCAACTTAGCTTTTCACACAGGGGTATTAAACGCTCTGCCACCTAGAGCCCTGCTCTTCACAGACCAGTCTGAGCACCAGGCTCCAACAGCAGCCCCTGGCTAAAACACCTGGTGACAATGTCAAATGCCAGTCCCAGGCCAGGCCTCCTGAAGCAAAATCTGCCTTTTAACCAGATCCCGAGGTACCGTGTAGGCACACAAGAGCTGAGAGGCCTGTGGTGGCCCGAGAAGCCCCAGAGCTAAGGGCAGCCCAGCTTTACCAGGACTTCGGCTCTCCGAAGTGCAAGTAGTTGATGCTGTAGAGGTCCATGTCTTCGGTGTGCCAGGCAAAGGAGGTCTTCCACATGCCAAAGTACAGGTACGGGGTGTTCACACCCTCGATGGTGATCCCACTCTCCTTCTCCACCAGGTCCAGGATTGTTTTCAGTCGACCGATATTCCACTCATCTACATGCTGCAAAGAAAATCACAGTTAAGGGCAATTATAGTAAAAATAAACTAAGGCTCTTAACCTACAAATCACAGAAGAGGCAATGGGTGACCTGTCACCTCTAATGAAAGATGTGGAATAATGTGGAAACAGCCTCGACCCCAAAACCACAGCCCCCCTCACTCACTCTTCACGGCCACCACCGGAACCGACGCAATTAGACCTCCAAAGGCCAAATACCACTTGGTAAAGGAAACCAGGATATGAAAGACAAATCAGAAGGCAACAGCCAGCCCGTTCCTAACCCCAGGAGGAGGAGTTTGATCTGAAGCTAAAGAAACTTACATCAAAATAGGAAAGAACTCTTAACGCTACCAAAAATACAACATGGTAATTAACTATCCCAATTTCGGACTCTTTAACCCCAATTTCTACTGGGCAGTGTCTTCCGTAAAAAGTCTACAGTGTCACCCAAATACTCTTCCTAAACTGTAATGGTCTGCTAGGAGCCCACCTCTCATAAATCCCTTCTGGATTATCGTGCCCGGCTTTTGTACCTCGCCGTCCCAGACCTTTATTGTATCTGCCTGCCATTTACATCTGTAAGTTTCACTTTCCATCACTCAAAAAATTGCCATGAAAAAACTTGAGATCTATTTAAATCCCTTCCTTCCAATAATTTACAAAAACATTAAATTGAGTGATAATCCCTCCAACTCCCTACAAATTTTTTAATCATCCAAAAACCATCCCAAATATTCTTTCCTAAGACTGTTAGCTAAGGCTGTTCTTTATGCCGAAAAACACCACACCCCAATCCAATGCATTCTGTTATAATAGCTTCTGCTAAAGAATCTTGTTTGGGGGGGCGCCTGGGTGGCTCAGTCTTTAAGAGTCTGCCTTCTGCTCAGGTCATGATCCCGGGGTCCTGGGATCCAGCCCCGCATCAGGCTCCCTGCTCAGTGGGAGGCCTTTTTTCCCTCTCCCACTCGCCCTGCTTGTATTCCCTCTCTAGCTCTCTCTGTGTCAAATGAATAAATAAAATCTTAAAAAAAAAAAAAAAAAGAAAAGAAATCTTGTTTGAGGGTTCTGAAAATCTAAATACGTTTCTCTTCTTAAATATCCACCCCTTTCACTAGTCAGTGATCTTTTTTCTGCGGGAACCACACTGCCTCTCCCCCAACGTTTTCATTAACTGTGATCCCACCCTTTCAAGAACTCATCAGCTACCACCCACAGACTATTCTAACAGCCCTTGCAAAGAACACCACATCGCCCAATTCACATGTAGAGTGGGAGAAATAAAATTCAGTCACATGCAAAAATACCCACAATTAAGTAAGCTCGGCACATCAGCCCTTGGTGGAGGGTTCTTTGCAAAGCCACTCATTCAGAAAGCAGCTTTTAGGTGCCTACGATGTGCTGGGCAGATAAAAATGATATTAAATTGGGGCGCCTAAAAAAAAAATTGGGGCACCTGGGTGGCTCAGTTCGTTGAGTGACTGCCTTCGGCTCAGGTCATGATCCTGGAGTCCCAGGATGGAGTCCCGTATCAGGATCCCTGCTCGGCAGGGAGTCTCCTTCTCCCTCTGACTCTCTCTCTCCTCTCATGCTCTCTCCCCCTCACTCTCTCTATCTCTCAAGCAAATAAAGTCTTTAAAAAAAAATGTTTTTTTAAATGGTATTAAATCACAAAACTGCTGCTGTTTCCAGTGAGTCTCACCTTTTCATAGAGAGTGCCATTCACATCTGCACCATAGATTGGGGGATTGAATGTGAGATTTTTCCAGTATTTCCGTTCAAGCTCTTCAAACTCACTATAGCGTGGGGTACAGTACCTTTCAAAAGTAAACAAAGTATTAACCACTTACCAGGACTAAATTCTTTAGGCACTATGAACCGCACAAGACAGAATCCCCTATTCTAGGGACAAGATATTTCAGACGAACAAGACTAACACTTCCAGACCCTATGCAGTGGCTAACTCAACAAATAATCACACCTAAAAACAAAGTATTGTTTTATTATTTTCTTAAAAAGTATTTTGGGCGCCTGGGTCACTCAGTTAGGCCTCTGCCTTCAGCTCAGGTCATGATCCCAGGGCCCTGGGATAAAGCCCAGAATCAGGCTCTCTGCTCCTCGAGGAGTCTGCCTCTCCCTCTCCCTCTGCCTGCTGCTCCCCCTGCCTGTGTGTGTGCACGTGCACATGTGCTCTCTCTCTCTCTCTCTCTCTCGCTCTCTGTGTCAAATAAATAAAAACAAACTAAATCTTAAAAAAATAGGATGCTTTAAAAAAAAAGGGAAAAATATATTTTTACATATGTACTCACACACGTAGCTGTCTGTATGTATGCCTCTATAAAAGCATTAAATATGTCTATTCTTTAGCTCAATTATCACCTTCTAAGAATTTACTCCAAAAAGTCTTTTAAAAATTCAAACCACTCAAAAATTATTACACAGGGGCGCCTGGGTGGCTCAGTGGGTTAAAGCCGCTGCCTTCGGCTCAGGTCATGGTCTCAGGGTCCTGGGATCGAGCCCCGCATCGGGCTCTCTGCTCAGCAGGGAGCCTGCTTCCCTTCCTCTCTTTCTCTGCCTGCCTCTCTGCCTACTTGTGATCTCTGTCTGTCAAATAAATAAATAAAATTAAAAAAAAAAATTATTACACGGCAATTTAAGAAAAAATAATGTGTAAATCAAATAGATATCTGAAAATGCACATTGTAACTCAAATGGCAAAAAAAAAAAAATGAATGGATATAGTGGAAGTGAAGACCCAAAACAGACTGTGGGGAGACAATGGAATGAATGGGAAAAAATCTTACTTTAAATACGGCCTTACAATTTAATGTCAGCCTACTGAATAATGAAGTTTGGGACTCTTAAATGCCCTTTGAAATATTTCAAACTCTTCCACCTCCAAATGATCTGCTTTATAAATTCAGATTTTTACCTGCTGGGTTTTCTTAAAGCTGGCTGACCATGCACATAGAAATCAAGGGTAAGGATTTGTTGCATTTCAGATGAAGGGGAAAATCACAGACTTGCTAATTGAAAAAGAGGCATCCTGAAATAAAAGGCCTCCCATATGCTGACAGGAGAAACCAGACACAAGAGACTGAGGCCTCTGGCGGAGCCCCATGAGCCAGAAGGCAGGTGAGCCCAGCCCCAGCACATAGCTAAAAACCAGACATAAAGAATGGCACAGCCTTTCATCTGCAGAGCTCGTCACACTTCTTCAACATGCTCTTACATAAATTCACTCTTTCAACAGCAGGTTGGTCAGCGATACAGATGTTCAAAGAGTTAAGCTCTCAACAGAACTAGAAAACCACATTTTGAATTGTGATAAGTCAAAGGAAAAGGTGACAAAGCACAGAAACAGAACAAGATCTGATGTGAGAGAGCGCGAATGTAAAGCCACGAAGTAATGCCCTTGGAAGTGTGAAGGCTGCCAAGACACACATCCAGCTCTGGGCTCGTTCACAGCAAAGACACAATCTAACATAACTGACTGGCTGAAATCAAGATGTGTACAGATCAAAAGGGCACAGGAAAAAAAAAAAGCAAGAAAAAAGGAAGGAATCTCTTGTGGACACTCAAAATTAAGGAGTAACATGGGAAAGGAGAAAGTCCAAGAAAGAGGATTAAGACGGAGCAGTCAAGGGCTCAAGAGAGAACCACAAAATCATCTTCTGTAAATCTGAGATCGAACGAAAGCTAAATATTCAAAACAGAGAAGAAACAGGGGAAAACAGAGGGCCTACAGAAAGGCGTGTCTAAGAGAGATAAGGATGTATGGATGATGAACGAAGGCAAAGAAAGTAACAACCAGCATGGCAGTTTATTCACACTTTGTTATGTCCAAATATAAAGGAGACAGAGGCTGGACAGGTGGTGAGGAGTTTGAGCATGATAAAAGACAGAAGCACCCAGAAGGAAGAGAAGAAACTATAAGGGCCAGCTTTCGATAAGCAGGTGTTATTAACACACCTGGCAAAAACTCCTTTTGAACCAACTCCCAACTTTCTCTTTTGCAACTCTGCAACTTACCAAGGTCAGAGAATGATCCCACTTCTGCGGGAAGAACAGTGGGATTACTTTAGGTAAGAATATGGATGCATTTAGAATGTGACGCAGTACTGGGAATAGTAAGGACACTTCCATAAAAAGAGCAGAAGGGGAGACAGAGCTAGGGCTGAGCACACCGCCCTTCAGTGGCACAGCAGCAGGGTTAGGAGACAGCTATGAGGATGAGACGTTAACTCCTAGACCCTATGAAGGGTAGGAAGAGACAGGTTTCCACTCACTTATCACTATTGGCTATCTTGCGGAACTCACGAACAGTCATGGCTTTCTTCTGTATATTGTACTGAGTGAAGAGGCCAGACTGCCCCGTCACCAGCTGCTGGATGGGGGCAGGAATGACCAGATCATCAATATCATCGTAGGATGCTCGTGGCTTCCACTCCTTTGGAGGAACGACCTGTAGGGAACACAAGAAACAAAGAGATCAGAAAGCTGGCAAGCTGGTCACAGTCCAGGATGTGGGTGGGCTGCTATCCTACCAGCCGATTTTACTATAAAGTGACTCTGATTTAACATAGCAAGTTACACTGATGTGCTAGCCCTGATCTAGTTTGGCCACCAACTAGCTGCCTCGTTGCAATGACCAAAGATAAGCAATACTCATTCTCAGCTCTATATCTTATCCGGACACCAAGACAAAAGGATGAAGAGCTGATTCTCTCTTATCTTAACAGAAAGTGCACATGAAGAACCAACTTGCTCTCAGGCTGCTGGATGGGACTGAAATGAGAACAAGAGAAGGTGGAAGGTCTAAGCCCTCAGTGACAGGTAAAACCACTAAAGCACACATCTCCACCATGCGGATGGAAGCAGCACAGCATCTGGCCCTGGGGCACAGGCTCTTTACTTCCCTTTAGAGATGCCAAGCAGCTCTCCTCCTACCCAAAAGATGCTTCAGATGTTAACGAAAGGAATTAACTTGCAAACAGGACAGTATACACTGAGCATCCTGACTGGCTTTCATTCCCCATTTAGGAAAAATTCCTGCTGCCCTGTCATAAAACCCATGTAGAATCACCCCACCCAACCTCACCTTGGCCAGCCCAGCCCGATGAGCTCCTTGGGACTCAATGTAGGCCATGTATCGACTGAAGTTCCGGAACTCCTCCATGGTTGGGTAAAAGGTCATTATCCGAGCACTGGGATTCAGAGCTTCAGATTCAGAAGCCATCTTCCCTCCTTTCTGACGTCACTTTGGTCAGACAGGAACCTGAAGAAAAACATTAAGAACATACAATGTGGGGCACCTGGGTGGCTCAGTGGGTTAAAGCTTCTGCCTTCAGCTCAGGTCATGATCCCAGAGTCTTGGGATCGAGCCCCACATGGGGCTCTCTGCTCAGCAGGGAGCCTGCTTCCCCTGCTCTCTCTCTGCCTGCCACTCTGCCTACTTGTAATCTCTGTCAAATAAATAAATAAAAACTTTATTTAAAAAAAAAGAACACAGAATGTAATTAGAACTAAATGGTGGGGGGGCGCCTGGGTGGCTCGGTGGGTTAGGCCGCTGCCTTCGGCTCAGGTCATGATCTCAGGGTCCTGGGATCGAGTCCCGCATCGGGCTCTCTGCTTGGCAGGGAGCCTGCTTCCCTCCCTC